TCCCTCAGCGGGAGATCCTAGGGAACGAGTCTCGACGGTGGCACGAGTTTCTTCATTAGCTACACAGACGCTGTCTGGAGGATAATTGTAGCGGCCGATTGCTCTCATAGGTAACCTCGCGTGGTTTATCCGATCAACACCAAGCGTATGCCGGAGCATTACCTAACAAACGGGCCACGGAACGCGACCATTCCTTCCTCTTCCTGTTCAACTTCACTCGTTACTTACAGACACAACAGTTACATGCATTACACTACCACGCATGCCGGGATCATAGAGCTTGTTCTAGCTGGGGCGGCACCCCGCTGGCGGGAGTCGTCTGATTACGGAAAACACCGTGGGTGGACGAGAAGGTCGGCGCCGGCTCTCGACACAGACGCATACTACACTTACGGGATAACGACCTTAAAAGTTGACACACTCGGAAGCACTAATCAATCAATCACAAGGAAAAGAGACTACGTGTGTTCCCGCTCTGTCGTGCCCTCAGCCACCGTGTCCTTTATTGCCCCGTCCCACAAGCTCCAACACTCTGTTCCCCCTCTTCCTGTAGGTTGCTACGATCTCCAGTGTCTCTGCCGTCGTTTCTACAGGTGCTTGTAAACAGATGTACTGTTGCATATTCCAGGCAAATCCCAGTAAAATTTTGAGCCTCGATTACTTAAAACCTAATTGCGCTATTGCAATTACTTACTACTTTTGTAGGGGATTGTATGATATTTCAACACCTTGAAATTGCATTTCGTAAATTTAATCGCCGTTTCTAAACTATTTGCGATAAGCTGGAATATTATTCTCATAAATTTTGTTTTAAAAGGAATGAAAATTAATATGTTTTTACAATATCTTTTTTTTATTTTAACTTTTCTATTGTTCTAAAAGTAATGCACATAAAATATCATTCATATCTGAACAAAACTATAGATATAGATACAAAAGCAAACGAATAAATATTGCTCTTTATATAATAGGAATAAATTTAAAAAATGTATTCAAAGTCATACAATATTCTACGTTGCAGTGAAAACTTACGTATACCCATTCTCAAGATTACTCCAATCAAACACTCACACACATACTTACAAAACTTAAAACAATTGAATTGGTTTTTATATCACGTAAATAAACATGTCATCTATTGAACTAGTGGTGCTAAAACAACACATACTTTCTTGCCCCTTAGTAACGGTTATGCAATAATATTATTCTGCATTTCTGTCTAAATCCACACACCTCAGTCGATGAGCGCGGACAACTAAGCGCCCATGCAGACAAGGGCGCTTCCAACAATGGGCACAGATTTACTTATCAATTCTTGCTAAAAGCGCTGTTTTTGCCATAATGAAAGCTGATCCAAAATTTGTGAGAAATCGTAAGTATTCCATTAATTTCAACAAGAAATTGCGCAAAACTACTTGTTTGTAAAAAAAATTGTACATGACGATTTTGGAGAGCTAATTTTGAACAAAAATAAGCTCTAATATTTATCTGCAATTTTGAAGTTTTATATCTTTTTTTCAATTAACGAAAAATCGGGGAAATCAACAAAATTAGACCTGCACCATACTCTTAAACTTGTTAATTAACATAATGTAATCAAAAAATATGGAGCCATTTTTTTTTTTGAAAATTTTGAAAATGTCCCGAGTTCTTCATGTAAAGTACATCTTCCCGAATTAAAATATCGGTTTCAAATTCCATGGTCCGCGACAACAGCTAGAACCATTAGGGAATATTCTAATAAGTTTAGGAGCAAATTGGCAGAACGGTTTTCGCGGTAGCATTTTCCACAGATGAGCGGACATACAAAAATATGCGTTTGCAAAATGGACGTTTTGCTTTCAATCGATTTCTGGGTATGAAGGGCACCCGAAACATGAATTCTGGTTACATCACTGGTTAGAGGATTTTTTTCTCTCTTTAGCAACTGGATTTTATCCAATTTTTCCTTACCAGGGCCGAGCAATAACAGTTTTTGTGTCGCAAATATCCCGTTTTCCAGTGCACGATTACAATACTTCCCCTTCTTGTAAATGCGAGAAAGCAAAAATACATTTATTTTCAAATTGACACACCGATAATCGTATACATAAAAAGCGAATGTGACCACGTGTGTTTTTTATAATTTGTATTTCATCCTCGTAAGTTTACACAACAAGTTTAAAATGTGAATCTTTTTTCTACAAAGAAGAAAATATCACTTACTTCTAACGTTGTTCTTTCGGTAATTCGAATGAGTAAAATAAGTCAATTATAATGCAAAAATAAACTATTACTGAACGAACGGCGTTGGATGAGAGTTCGGTAATTCTTATGAGTACAAATATCATAAAAGAGTTGCATACACTATTTTTGTATACAAATGTTAGAATGATTTAAGGAAAAGACTTTAATTTGTATAATAAGTTGAATCTTGAAATCTATGTTATATCATACTTTCTAAGCAACGTTTGTTTGCATATGGTTATGAACTCGAAAGTTACATTTTATAAAAAGTATAGATTTACTACCAAAACAATTTTTGGAAGAAGCTGCAAATCATAAAATTAATACATTTCAAAATATGTAGCAAATATTATGAAAAAATCAAAGTTTAGATTTGAATTGATATAAAACGATCAAATTTTATATACAAGGTCGTTGTCTTTGTATATAAATATCGGGGCAGGTTCATTAATCAGATACCATGCACATGTTAAAATGTAGATGGTTAATGTATGTTTCTTTAAATATACTCATAGTCCACGCAATATAAATCATCTGCCATACGGAACAGGTTTTGAAAATTGAAGGTAATGATACAGATCGAAGATGATATATTGGAACTTTCTACAAAGAATGTTCATGCTTAGTGCAGAAAATGAAAGTAAAAAGCATTAATTCTCTTTCTGGAGTGTCTTTCACAAACATGAATAAATGCATTATTAATATTTATGTGCGTAAAATTAGATATTTTTCGTTATTGTTCTTCGTTATATTTTCATAAGGGTGCATATAATATAAGACACCATATACATATAAGAGTTTTAAAAAGTAGTTTTTTATTAGAATATTGTTGATTTTCCAACGGCCGCTGAAATCTATTTACATGTCAGTTGTTTACACTGTTAGTTTTACGCTCCAACGCTAGATTGCTAAAGGGAACTGTGATTATACGCCAGAGATGACTCATATTTCGTACAGAAATAGCGATGGCTTAATGTTTTGTGCAATATTATGAACGATTTTGTTCATCTAAAGAGGTTGTTTACAATGCTGATATGCAAAAAAAATGAAATTGGTGTGTCTACCTGTGATTTAAAAATGACTGTGCTTTTTCAATGGCACATTGGATTGCCACACAATGGAAACTTTTTATTTTGTTGTATTAAAAAATAACTATTTTTCCTATACAAATCTACATACCGATCATATGAAATCATTTAATCTTAATGAATATTTACCGATCTGAATGAATTTCCTACAGATCTTGAAAAGAAGAGGGAACTTACTATCTGCATGAAATCCAAAAGTCAAACGATTTGAGTTATCCTAGGTGGAAAATGTTACGGCAACTTCGCCGGAATTATGCAACAATGCATCTGTTTAGAGCCACCCCTAAAATGATAGTAGATGTTGCAAAAGTGATTGTAGCAAGCATGGCAGGGTAGGGTGGGGTAGGCAGGGGCTTGGCCAGACAAGGCAGCAGAGGGGAGGACAGTAGGAAGGGTGGAAGCAGGTTGGGTTTGGGCAGTGCGGTTTCGTAGATTATTTTCTCTACAAAGACTCTGGCTCAGTCTCAACTGTGACTGAGTTTTGACATTAGCTGCATAACTAGATCAAACTCAGACTGTTACTGGAGGAGAATTATAGCGGCCGGTAACTCTGATTGGTATATGCCCGTGATTGCTCCTTTCAATAGTAGGAAAATGCCTAAAAAACGGCTCAGTGACTAAGCTCTACAGTTCTCTAATCTTCCTTAACCAAACGTGTCCTCTTATTCAAACACACAAAGTGACAAGCACTACACTTTCACACATTTGGGAGGCCCCGGAGTTTCGGGCTTGTCCATCTGGGGTGGTGAGCGATGGGATATTCTTCGGAGGAAATCTTTTATTTTTCATTATATTTATTTTCTTTCGGTTTAAATAATTCAAATATCAGTGTGCAACACTCTACATTTGCTACAGTTGCTTAAATCTTCTTATAATAAGAGGAAGGAAATCTCCCGTAAGCCAAATTGTAACCAGCGAGAACATACACCACAACCTTCAAGCATACGATAAAAACATTCACTACATTATCTGGAGTAATGACTACAACTGTTGACATGCCTGTAAACAATAAGTCAATCAATCATTTAATCCATAGATTTCGAAAAGTACAGTTAGACTGGGTTTGTTTTAACAAACCGTAACAAAGTATATATAGATTGAGAAGAAGTCAAGTGAGAAGCAGCGCAGCAACCGTTTCATCTCAGCTCCGTGGATGAGGAGCAAGCCATGTGGTGTGGGTGCGATGGGTCCGTGCTTCGGTGCTCTGACCTCGGGGAGCGGACTCGCTACCTCGCGTATCATGTTGCCATCTGCCGCGACGTCCGATTGTGATCATAATGGTGTATTTATGTAATCTGAAGGCGGATCTCTTCCACTGCGCATGCTCCTCCGAGCACCGCTCTGCGAGGAGGCCGCTCTTATAAAACATTCATGCCTGCTTTACAAACGGCGCCTTTTTGTATTTGGAAATAAGCCTATCTGCATTCTGATCGTATTCGGAGGCCTGAATATCGATCCTCCCTACATGAAAATCGCTTCTTTTTGAGGAGACAGGTCAGATTTTGCCAACACAACCCTTGCCTCGCGCGAGAGACTCCAAAGTGTCGCCTCCTCCAAGAGACGCGAGGGAGGAGCTGGGTGTCTCCGCTCGGCCATGTTGCCGCCGACGGCCTAACGCATTCTCGGAGAGCGTGGCGGCAGAAGCCACCGCGCCGCCAAATGGAGGGGAGGCATTTTTTTCGCACAATGCAGGCAGGCGGGTGGGCAGGCAGCGGCGGCGGCGGCGGCGGCGGCCGGGTGGGGCGGGGCGGGGGTGGGTGGGGCGGTGTCGCGTGGGCCCCGGCGGCGCCGATCGGGGACGAACCTCGCGGGATTTCGCAACCGGGAACAGGAGGCGCCCCGGGCCCCTGCCGCCCCCTGCGGCCCGGTGGCCCCTGCGGCCCCTGCGGCGCTGCCGCCGTATATATAGCAGCGGGCGGCGCAGGCACAGGCACAGACGCACTCGAGCACCTGAGGGACTCTACAGCCTCCGACTCACTCCACCTCCGCTCCGCCATGAACACGGTGAGTGCACCGCCAGCGCGGCCTCCGCGCCGCACCTTCACGCGGGGGAGAACTTCACTTCGAATCGCAGTTTAGCGTAAACGTAATGATGGTTCGCTTGAATTCAGATGTGTTCACACATTCGCTATTTCGGTCACTTTTGCACTAAAATACGTTTTACTCATCATTTATGAAAATAATTTTTTGTTTCATTTTCCTATAAAATAGAAGTTTCTTTAAATTAATTAAAATCACAAACGTAAAAGAAGAAATGTAAAAAGGTGAAGAATGTTTTATCATTTCCTTAGATTTTCATAATTTTTTTAAAAGTCAGAGAGCAATAACATATTTAGAAATTGTATTGAAATATTATTTAAAATTGTAGAGTAATAAGCTGACTATTCCAAGTATTACTAGAAAAAGTAGCATTACATACGTGTTTTAAATTTTTACCTTATTAGGAAACAAACCTGCTAAGATGTTTTGTGGTAACATTGAAACATATACACAATAGGCGATAAGTGCTCACATGCAGATAAAATTTAATTCTGAGTGATAGAACGTGACCTTACAAACAGTTGCATTTTCGGATCGGATCATGGCGACTTTTTTTTCGCCCACATTGAATCTCATTGTTTTTTACTACTTCCTATCTGCTTATAATGTGCTGCATATTTAAATTGTTAAGGGAACAGATGTCCGTGTTTTTCTAAGAGTTCCATTATTTCCTCCTTGATGAGGGTTTTAATAGTCATTCTTTCAAGGACAAACTACATTTCCTGATCGTGCGACTAAAGTGACGTAAACACGTAATTTCAGAAAGGAGATTTTCCTGGGCAGTGGTGCAATGTTATGCTATTCACTTCTCGGGTTTGGAATAAGATGAGGTTTCCAGTGGGCAATTCTTTGGAGGGAGACCAGCAAGGACTTGGCCAACTGGCGTTGCACTTGAGGTGCTGCAACCATAAAAAAATTAAATCTTCGAGAACGTTTTCAACAAAAGATATTTTTTCCAAGAATGTATTTCTTAGATATATTAAATACAAGAAGGTTAATTCATCAAAATTCATCAGAATAGTTCTTCAAATTTAATTCCAAACTTAAAACTTCGTGTAATTACACATTTTCTATTTGAATTCGTCTAATTCCCAGTTTTCCAATCTGTGGACCGTCATTTCCTTTTTCTATATTTTAAATACTCAAAAATAACGTTTAGTTCATACATTTTAATTGACTTTTTTACAAAGCTATGTTTTCTTAATAAATCTTCAAACGATTGATTAAACTGTTGAATCTTTAGCTACTGTTGACAATATTTGAATATTCAAACTAATGGTTTCGTATGCCTCACTTGTAATAAGGCATTGAACGCGTTATTCGCTTGTAAGACAGTAGTCGGGGGCGGGAGGGGCGCGGCGCCAATGGCACTTGCTGCGCACGGGGCAGTGCCAAGCCACGTCCAAGGAACGCGCATCCACGCCCCTCGGGAGCACAATATCACACCCTCACGTTGGAACATTAGAAGTACAAGTCGACTGCTTTCGATAGGAAGGAAAAGTACTTCGGCCGCCGCAAAGCGTTTGGACACGCTGCTTGGCAAAGGCGTGGCTGCTCAAACAAACTGATGATTAGCGGGTAACATAGCCGTCAGGCGCTCGCTGCGAAGCGCGTGTAGTGAAATAGAATTAGTAACCTGCCGCAACTGAACAAAAATACACAAAATGGTTTCCCAAAAAGAAGCACGCGCATTGCTTAAGATCAACAAATGAAATATTCTCCTATAATAGTTCAAAAAATTGAAATATTTTGTCTAAAATAGATTTCATAAATTCTCCAATAACGTAGTATAATATATTTATACAGTAAAACAGTTCTTTACACACCAAGTATACAAACAGTTGCTGTTCCACTCGTGAATAGTTGAGTGGCGAGAGGTCTCTTCCTTGGATTCTTGTTGTTGCATTACGTCAGCTGTGTCGCAAGCGGTGTCACATTGTGTGTGACAATTCAGTCGGGAATCGCGGGCGCACACAGGCGGAATAATAAAATCAAATATTTTCATTTTTTTATTCTAAAGAAAACTTTATTTCTGAATTTCCCCTCCGCGTTCCTGAGTGTCTACTGTGAAACTCTAGTCCCGTCTCACACGGCGGAGGCTGAGTGTCTTGCGCGCGAGCGACTGAGCGGTGCGTGTCCGCAGATGCTGCTCATCCTGTCGGCTGCGCTCGCCCTGGCGGCGGCGAGGCCCCAGCGCCCAGAGGAGATCCCCATCATCAAGAGCGAGTACAACCTCAACCCCGACGGCTCCTACCAATGGAAGTAAGTAGCGCTGCGCAGATCGGACGCAACCTCTTGACGAGACGTCTCTGGCCCGACTCACTCGCTTCGGGGCGAAGGACGATCTCGTGTGTGTAGGAGCCTTTAGGCTTCCAGGGCGCAGAACCAGTCTGCGCCCGCGCGTGTTCCTTCAAACTCACGAATTCGGTGTTCAAAAGAGTAAATGAGCTGGCGGCTTCTTTTCATATTTTAAAACTTTTAGTTCAAGATTTTTCATGAGAAGCAAAAGAAACAAAGTTGCCGCAAACGGTTTAGTATACTTCTCATTAATTTGTGTTGGATTAGTTTTTTGGTAAAATTTCTTTTATTTGCTTTAAATAACATTTGCGCACACCTATTAGGTTACAAGTGGGCAAGTGTCTATTCAAGCAGAGCGTTAAGTTATAAATAATACATGAATGTCCTTACCAAGGGAGATAAGGTCATATTCATAAAATCATATTACACTCGAGTATTTGTCTTGTAAAACGTAATATAGTAGCTAAGAGAAGAGCAGGGAGTTGCGAGAGGCCAATCGGATGAAGGCTGATGGGCGGAGGGCGATTTGCATAATCGGCGGCATTCCAGTCCCGGCTCGTCGGACGTCCTGTGGGTGACGGGGCAGGTGCCACTGGAGTGGAGAGCCTGCAACGGCCCATTGCGCCAGCGCTGCCTCTTTACAACACCTCCGCCCCGGCGCCTCCCGCTCCAGCCCTCCCGCTCCAGCCGATGACGGACAACCCTTTCGGTGCTTCCTTCGGTTTTCGTATCCACACACTCTGTTTTAGTAAGACTTTAGGCTTGGGGTAAAATCCTAAATTTGTATCTAACGCAGGGCAAGCAATAGACCAAATTTTTGAGATAGCTTGGTCATTTATTTTATGAACTCTATTCATATTAATGCAATTTTTCAAACGACTAAGAACTTACTAAGACAATTAAAGAAAATTTCTTACTAGCTATTTCTCCGAGAAAGAATTCCAAGCACAGAGGAATGTTCATGCATGCTCGTGAAATACCTTAGGCCGTTTCTCAATGTGAAAAGCTACAGTCTTGGGAATGAAAGAATGGCTTCGGTGGAATCTTACGAAATTATCTTCTTAAATTTCCTAAATGGGACTAACCCTAGGAATCTTCCTCGTACGTTATCCCAACAGAAATTCTAAAAAACTGCCTATCGCGTCTTGTTCTTAAAAACGCTTCACATTATTTCAAGCCCCGCATGCGAATGTTGCGGAATAGCCGCTTGGCCGAAGGCGTGAGCGGCGCTCGCCTGCTCTTTGGAGGCGCACCGCGGTGGGCGCGCGCCCTTTGTTCTCGACGCGCCGCCTTCCGCGTGCCCCTCCTCCCCCCTCCCCCCCCCGTGGAAAGTTGGCGACTGCAGCGGCGCCGCCAAATGTCACCGGGCGCAGCGCTGCACTAGCCTCCGCACGCGAAAATTGTTACTTAGCAGGTTTTCGCTTTGACGTAGTTACGAGCAGCAACAACGCCGTTGCCACTGGGAGAATATGGCGATGAAATTGAGGTTTTTCGACACGAGTCTCGTCGTCTTTAACATAATTGCTTGCGAGGGAAGACTAACGTGAAGTATTAAACTGGAATGCTGTTGTAAATAATACATTTCACGAGAAATTCGTTTATCTTTTCAACTTCGACACTTTGTATTGGAATTGCCGACACATCTATCATTCTTGATAACTTAAAAGGAATTGTTTATTTTCCTTTAGAAAACACATACTTTTATTAAGAGTAAAGATAAATGAGAAGGTAAGAAATTCCTGTTCTACTTAAAGTTAGTGTCGGTTTCGCATTTTCCCATCCTTCATGCGTGTTTACATTGCATAAAAAATTAAGAGGCTGTGAAAATAGTATTTATGACATATGCAAGTAGTAACTGAACACACACACAGTTGTGTATAAGTTACAAAAGAACAAAAATGATTCGTTTAGTTAGCAGTGAAAGAATGTGAAAGCATATAAAACTATTTTCAAGCCCAGTGCGCAAACCCTGGGAAGTCGATTGAGATGTGTCCCGCAAGGTAGAGAAGAGGACCCCGACGACGAGAGTCGGGGCGGCCGTGGGTATGCGGGGGGCGTCGCCGAGAAGCGTGTGCCAAGGAGCGGCCAGCGCCCGGGGCTCCTTGGCCAGAGGCAAGGGCGACGCCGCCGACCGCTCAAGGACAGCGCCACGAGAATTCCTCACGTTGGATTTCGGGGCTCATGACTTTCCGTTGAAGATCGAACCATCACGCGCCCTTCGGCGATGCTTCAAAAAAACAACGCGAAAACGTGATTGGGGAACCGTGTTTCTTGAAAGGGCATGGCTCTTAGAGACATTACTGACTTTATTGCTTGCTGTAAAAAGACATAACGGAGACGGTTTTTGCTTACTAGCATGTTAACTAATACCCGAAAGTAATATTCGTCTGAAATATTCCAAAATACGACATAAAACAACTTTTTAAAAAACGATAACTTGAAGTAGCTTGCTCGTTGGAAGTGTAATGATATGGAATAACAAATGAACATTCTTAAGAAAAATTTTAAGCCATCCGGAAAATAAAAATACATAAAATCCTCAATGGGATTCACGAAGAAATTGAGAAGTTTCGAGCAAAAGCGAGAGGCAGAGAGGAGGCGACGGCAGTGAAACCGACTCGCTTTGCGGCCACGCAAAGGCGAGAGTGAACGCGCCGCGTTAGGAACCGAGCTGTAGAGGCGGCTGTGCTACTGACCTAGAACTTCGCGAGCGCGCTTACAAGAGGAAAGAGGCGCGGGTGTTCGGTAAGAGAGGCAAGGTCAACGACCGGACACCGGCGCGCTCGGAAATTACGTTACGTTCACTTTAACACACTTAACTGCCAGTCATTGGATTACGAGGGAGATACACGTATGTTCTGACTTCCGAAAGTGGCCTCCAAACGGAACTGCTTCTTTCCTGAAAGCACGGTGTGTTTCCTAATGATTTATCTGAATGTGAACAAATGACCATAAAGATGCAATAGCTAACTTCAAAACATGACAACTTAAGAATACAAATGACAGACCATCATAAGAACTTGAACATCTGTTTTGTTCTGAAATAGAACAAGACGACTTCTTGCAACTGGGAAAGCCTGTAACCTGAGAAGGGTTCTAAAGTTACAGTGAAAATAAGAACCTCCGCGACATTCATGGGTCGATTTGTTGGACATTACACGCCATTGTATACTACAAATGGCCGTTTCATGAATTTTTTTATTCTCTAGCATACTTCACATGCTGGTATACCTTTAAAATACAGTCTTTCTCCTATCTCTGTTCTAAGCTTTTATATTGTTTAACATAAACGCTTAACGTTACGTTCTCATACATTGTGTACAGTATCTTATGGCATTATGTAATTTCTCGTAGTTTCGTTCTATGTTCCAGATCACACAAAGGATAATATTTAAATATATCTCGAAATTCTAAAAATGTTTTGCATCGTTTATTTTTTGTTTTATTTTTATTAGACTTCCTTTTTATTCAGTGGTGTCAGAATATATTAATGCATATTACAATCTTTTCGGAATTCAAAAGATTCAAAATGTCAGACAAACCAGTACCTTTTACCATATGGATTCAAAGAAAATTAAGATTTTTTCCACCTCTAGTAAAATTCAGAATTAATTTCTCATTGACAATTTTTCAACTAATCATTTTTTAAATTTCTCTTATAGAGGTGACGGGTTTAATTGCGATGTTAGATAATAGCAACCTATTTGTCTTGATCTGACAATAAATTTAATAAAACAAGAATACAAAACAGAAACAATAATTGATATTTCTAAATTACACTGCGTGAAAGTTAAATATTATTTTCATATATTCAATGTATTTGCAATTACGAGCAAAAAAGTCACGAATAAAGCTGGCGTTTGAAAGCTAATACCCTTCATGTTCGAAATGTTCATAATGCAGATGTAAATTGGTTTGCTAACCTTTACAGAGCAATGGCACACTTCAAAATTCAGGAGCTGAACGGCAGACCATAACTTCATACCATATACGCAGAGGTTATCAACCGCCGCCATTTAATATCATCACATCGATAGCCACGTTAGACAGTGTTGAGGATATGGAGAGTGACGATGACAATTAAAGGCTTTAAGGAGAATATAAAGGGTTTTATAACTGGTTTTGGTTTGTTCGGCGGTTTCAAAAACACATAACACAGCACGTTTGGAATTCTCTCGCGACAACTGGCTACAAAATGGCGGACCCGGCGGCGCAAGGCACGCGTCATCTCGGAATCCGGGGGCTCCAACCGAAGGGGCGCGGCGCGGCGCGGCGCGGCGTTGCACAAGTCGGCGGGGCTGCACCCGATGACCCCTGCGGCGGCAGCAGGCCTTCATTAGCATTTCGGGAGCTCATTTGTCTTAGAATGTCCGCTCGGCAGAACGCAACTACCTAACTTTCAGCCGCAATCACCACTCACAGTTGTTCCTCTGCAAGACGGACAGTTTTGGCCTCGCGTGAAGAGTACGAGATCATGTCTTCACTGGTATTTTTTGGTTCAAAATTTCATTTGATTACAACCCGCATTTATCGGCAGTGCAGAAAATTATTTTAATTGTGACTGTGATTGCACCATGAGCCAACATTGCTCACAATCGTAGTAAAGCGTTCCCGCTCTTTTGAATCCTCCTCTGGTTTGGTGAAGGACATTAGGACTGATATTTCAGACTTCTTAGGGGAATTATGGAACTAGAATTGTTTTAACATGGTATCTGGTGAATGCGTGAGATTTAGCATCTTTGTAAATTATACAACTCTGAAACACAGACCGAATTTTTTGCATTTTATATGAAGTTAAATGCGCGTACACTGCTGTTATTTCTCTATGCCTCAACATGTCTTGTTTCACGCTTTGCACTACGGCTGACCAGTAGGTAACAACATTGCCCAGTTCGGGTAAACCCTTGTTAACATTAGACTCCACTCCTTTTGTCGTGCGATGGGGACCAAGCAGTGTCTGCCGGCATAGGGCACCTCTTAAGCGCGTTGTGTGTGTGTGTGTGCGCAGCTACGAGACGGGCAACGGCATCAAGGCGCAGGAGACGGGCAGCCTGGAGCCCGCCGACGACCCCAAGGACGGCAACGTGGTGGTGGCGCAAGGCGGCTTCTCCTACACCGGCGACGACGGCACCCCCATCTCGCTGTCGTACCGCGCCGACAAGGGGGGCTTCCAGCCCGAGGGCGCGCACCTGCCCACGCCGCCCCCCGTGCCCGAGGCCATCGCGCGCGCGCTCGCCTACCTCGCCACCCTGCCCTCCACGCCCGAGCCTGGCCGCGGCGGCCGCTAAGGCGCACCCGCCCTCCGCCTGCACAAGTGAGCAACTAGGTGCCTGCATGCACAGGCTGCTTCGGAATGAATGTTACAAGTTTCTGCGACATGTAGGCGGGTCGAAAATAATTACGTTTTGCTCAAAAATCAATTGGTGGGAAATTTAACATAATAAAGTTACACATGCGATGTGATTTTGCCTCCTGAATCGAAAGCAACATCGTCTGCACAGGTGTTTCGGCAAGTACGTGAAATATTCGTGGCTGCGTCAGGACACTTGTGCGTAAAGGGTTGCCTATCAATAAGGAGTAAAGCTCGCGTGTGTAACTCCTTTATATGAAATTTACCACACGTTCGTTGGCAAAAAGTGACCATGTTCGATCACTACACGCCCGAGAAGCTTTAACTATTGGGTATTCTGAGACAACTTGCATTTTCAGTCCTATTAGTAGTGAGGGTAGTAAATAAATAAAAAAACATTACGCGTAATCAAACGATGAATAATATACGATAGCGATGATGGTTTTCTTCTTCTTTGAACCACTTTGTTTAAATTGAATTGCTAATCTTCTTGGAGGAAACAAGAAATATATAATAGTTGAGTTTTATGACAGGCAGTGAAACATGATGCTGATAATGGTAATGCAATAGTATATTTTTTATTCTATTCTATCTACGGCATTATAGTTAAAATACCACTGAAATTCTTGATGCAGTAACTCATATAACATTAATAATGAAAAAATCGTTGACGTCATAAATCATATATAACATATATAATATACAGTTCCAAACCGCAGCCACAAAAATCTTCTTTGACTTTCACTCTGCTGGTGGACCACCGTACTAAGCACAGAATCACATTCGCTTCGTACACTAGAGAGGACACCAATTCCTTACAATGTAAACTACTAAAAATCGTCTTCACAATATAGCTAAACTGGTTTGCACTATTGTTAATTATTTTTCACTTCCGTTCAGACTTAGAAAGCAACCTAATCTTCTTCTCATCTCAAAGATATTGCATATCCGACATTTCACACATTTCATTTTGGTATTGTTTCCTTCTCGGTAGAATTCCAGAAGTTGAAGTAAAACGGGTTCGAAAATATAATTTCTGTTTTAAAAAAAATCCTTTGAATGTCAGGGTTTTCTTTACTTTGAACACCCAGATTCCTACGATAGTATTAATGTCGTTGTTCGTACGTTGCAGATCGTCTGAGCGGTGACAGCCGCAAAATCTGGCCAAGTACAACGGACAAGCTCTCGTATCTACACGCTCGTGAGGCTACCTAGCGGCCGCTGCGCGCACTTCTAGGGCGCGCTTCAGTATCCAAGTTCGGATGGCGGCCGCGAGCCGCGCCCGGCTCCGGCGCCTCGAGGCCTGGAGCCCGCCGCAGCTCCCGCGCGATGCGTGACGCGAGCGTCCCTCGCATTGAGTTCGGCCTGCACTGACTTCCTCTCGTTCGAGATCTCCTGACAAATGTACGCTGTAGATATATTTTATTTTATGTATTTACTTGTTACAATTTTATTGTAAACTGCACACAATGCTAAAACAAATAAAAACTTAATAAGATATTGAACACTGTGTACAATTTGGTAAAAATTCTCTCCACATTTCCCAAATATCCCGCTGTGCTATATAGAGGCAAAACAAACACTGACAAAAACGGAGAACCGATAAAGATGGTTCGATGTTAAACTAGAGGGAATATCGAAACATTTTTTCCTCTTAATATTAGAAAATAATTACTCTAATATCATGTTTTTTAAGTGTCAAAAATATTGATAACATTATTTAATAATCTGTAATGGAATGCAGAAAATATACAAAATTAATGTTCTTGAAAAAAATGGCTTCAAAAGTTGGGACATCTTCAAATTTCTAGCAGCAAGGATGCACAACAAAAACGAGATATGCCTGCGATGCGAAGAGGTCGGTGATTTCGAGGACAAAGGAAGCACTACAGTGCGACTACTGACCGACTATAGTAGTCATATCAGTTTATTTTAGTAATTATTTTTGCTATTACAATATAAAAATTATAGTGATGATAATTAATAATAATAATAATAATAATAATACATACATACATACATACATACATACATACAACTCTGAAAAATGATTTATGTAGGTGTCATCTGTCCAGCGAGACAATTCTGCATATCACATCCGCCTGCAAAATCATACCCCTAACTGATTACCATCACAGATATTTGTATGATCTGATAGCCTAAATTATTCACCAAAGATTGCAATAAACAGTAACCTTCTGGAAAACAAGCAGCCATATTACAAGTACACATCAACAACTGACTGAAAATCCTGCTTTGCAGTGACGTTTTGCAATACATACTTTTTTTATTCTACACTACTGCTACTACTACTATCTATTACTACGAGGAAGTAATTGCTTCCAGTCAATTGGAGATATCGGATTGGTAAGAATTTCATCTCAGTATATGAACGTATCATAGACATATCAAGACAATGGAATTACAACGACATGACCGTTAAAAGTGTCGTGAGGAATTATATTGAATGCTAGAAGAACTTATGAAATAAACCATATTAAAATATGTTTGCTGCTTAGTACTTTCAGAGTGGAGGTAATCATAAAAGAAATCTTAGCAACCAATTATACATACTACAGGGGCTGAAGTTTCTTTGACAGTGTTTGGAATCACCTGTGGTTCATAGAGTCTCAAATTTTCTTTTTTTTTTTTAAGGATGTTGGCCAGATATGGGCCTCCAAATAGGGTTAAGATTGCTGCAGGTGGAGAGAAGATACAAATAATTTTGTACACCAGAACCATAGTGAACACTAAAATGTACATTTTGTACCCGAAAATCCATATGTATAGATTAATGGATATGTCACATTAAATTTGTCAAGCTTTTGAACTAAAACTTGCTAAATGTCAGAAGTAAGATAGAAGTTGTACTTTTTTACAATACTTTACAATATTTTAAATTTTGGTGATACCCTACTGTAATTTGAAGGCCCCTGTGATATTTTAAAAATTACCTGGACTATAAGTTGTTTTTACCTTTCAATGTTTCACTGAAATGCAAGAAAATGTATTAGTATGTATAAGTGTGAAAATCTGTAAGTATTGTGTAAATCCGTTTGTGACTAAAACTGTCAGAGCTGTCAAAACTAGCTGCATTCGCTTCTCGAATAATAACAATTCTTTGCTTATTTCCATCGGTATTCCGATTACAGCTTTTTTATCGGTTGGTCATAGTGCATCGTAAACATTGTTGGTTTGAATCGTTCACCTTGAAGTGCAGTAAAATCTCAGCAGGCATACTTTTGTCGTTAATTTACAGAAAAATATTCACATTTTCCAAAAATTGAAAATGGCCTTATTTGAAGATCTATTTTTGATAAACATATTTCATTAACAAAAATGTTTTTTTCACAATTGTAATTGTAGAAAGAAGCCACGTTTTTAAGTTTTTAAAACATTTTCAAAAATCACGCATTTCAATGAACATGAGTACTGCATCATTCTCTTAAGCATGCTTTATGCAATCTAAGTTTCCAGTTTAATGAAAAAACGTTGTGCAGTTTTTAAGAAAAAGTGGTCTAAAGAAAATGTTTGGCATAAAATTTTGCAAAAAATACTATTCTATTGTAAAATTGAATATGAATGACAATATTTAAAGAACTGTTATTGAAGAATTTCACTAACAAAAAATTGTATCTTTATAATTGTAAATGTAGGAAGACGCCGAAAACATTTTGAATTTTATTAATTTTCGAAAAATCAGTATTTTCAACCAACATGATATATACATCATTCTCTTATGCGTCCTTAGTCTATTAACCAAAAAATAGTCTGAAAACATTGATTATGGCTACACCAGATATTAGAGATAGTAAATTATTATATATAGGAACAAGATTTATTCAGTTTTTTTTTCTTTCCAGAATCCGACAATAAATGTTTTTCTCTCGAAAATTCACCACGACGCACGATTACAATACTTTTTCTTCTTATGCAGTAACGGGAGAAAATAAACAATTTCATAGTAATTATAAAAAAGATTGTTTATTAACATTAGCTGTAAAGAATGCCCGATTATTATAATTGAAAATGCAAGGCTATTACGGTTCGAAAAAAGCACTTAGCACAAGTTAGCACTTGCTTAAGAGAATGGGAAACAATGTAGTACTAGAAGATCTGTACCCTTCTGTACCATCGGTTCCTGGCAGAGTTTTAGGTCGCGCGTGTCAGAGGTTGCAGCTCCTCGCCCTGGCTGCGACGTCGAGTGCAGGAGGACAGGAAGGGGAGGGAAGGGAATAGAAGAACAAAGCAGGGAAGGGGAAAAAGGAAATCAAAGGAAAAGGAGAAAGGAAACGAAGGAAAAGGCAGTAAAGGAAAGGGGAGAAAAAAAAAGAGAAGTAAAGGGTAAGAATAAGAAGGCAAGGAAAAAACGTGACAGAAAAAGAAAGAAAAAGGAAGAAAAAGGAAGTGAAGGGAAGTTTAAAAATAAAAGGAAGAGAAAGGAATAGAATGTAGCTGAAGGAAAGCTCAGGTCGGAGAAAGAAAGGAAATTGAAGAAATGAAAGGAAGGAAAGCAAATAAAAGGAAAGGAAAAGGAAACGAGAGAGACGGAAAAGCAGGGAAGTAAAGGAAAGCGAAGGCGAATAAAGAGATGTAAATGGAAGGAAAGGGAAGGGAAAACGGAAGAAGTGAAAAAAACGGAATAGATAGGGAGGGGCAGAAACGGAAGAGAACGATGAGGAGGCAATGGAAATGAAGGGCAGTGATGGGAGGAGATGGGAAAGACAGATAAGAAAAGAAAAATGGTGAACAGGAAAGGAAAGGGAAGACAATGGAACACCGCTGGGCGGGAGAAGAGGCAGTCCCTTGCCGACCAACAAAGAATTCTGGCAGCATTCGAGACTCACCATAGCACATTTCTAATTCATTGTATTATTAGTGAAAAAGGAGGCAGGAGTGTCGAGGCATTTTATTAATCACTGGCATTGTTTACCCCGCGAGAACTCTCAATACCCTCGAAGCAAATTTCCACGCATTCACGGTGTGGAATGTCTTCTTTTCCTTTCGCATCGGGGGGGGGGGGGGGGGGAAGGGAGGGGGGGGGGCGGGCATTCTTCGAGCAAATGGAAGCCGCTCCCGGGCGCATCACGGCGCTGAGGCAACGTCCGCTTGCGACAGCGCTGCCAGCGGTCTCCGGCGCATTAGCGCTCCGCCCGCAGTGGGACAGCCCGCCCCGCCGCCCCGCCCACGCACCGGCTCCAACGGGACGTCATCACAACGGGGGCGCCCGCGCCCAATGCAAACGCCTGCTGCAACACGCTCACATTTTATTCTCAAATACGGTTTTTATATATCAACTTTCTCAGGTTCTACGGTGCCATTATTTTGACATTTTACACATTAAATAAACTAATTGTTTACACGAGTTAGGCAAACCTTTCTCTTGAATATTACCTGGGATTTTTAAATAAATAAATAACTTTCACAATTTGAAGAAAACATAAATATTCCTAAACTTGTGATGATACTTCTCTTGCGATTGCGTCCGAGTTTTGATGCTTCTTGACAACTGAGAAACTCGAAATTGTTAAAAATGTCCGATGTGGTTTTGGTTTGGGGTGTTTATGTTCACCCACTTAACCCTACACTGCAAAGTAATCTTCCGTTTGCATTATTCTCAATTTATAGTGTTGTTGTTCCGTAAAAATATACAAGAGCTGCTCTGTATCGTCACATCTCAATTAGTTGCTTAGCCTCTTTTGGCGGCAACGAAATTGTATTTGAAAACTATTGTAGTTTCCATGGCGCTATGCTGCTTACTGCTGCTTCTCTTCATTAGCTTTCTACACATTTGAAATTGTGATTATATATTTTAACTAAGAAGCTAAATTTTACAAAAGAAGTTTAAGAAGTGAAGTAAGAAAAATGTCACCATACACATACAATATTGTTTAGTTCGAACTTGAATGACGAAATAGAAAAACTAGTGGTGATACAAAAGCAGATATTTTCACGTTTTACGGATTTTTAATTATTACGGAGTTTGTAACGTTGCCAATTTTATCTTAGAACAGCTTCAATCACGTGAAAAACTCCTTACCAAACCAAGTACGAAAAGTTCGAAACCAAATGTATTATTAACCAACGTTTTAAATGGAAATGGCTTTCTGGAATTGAATGCAATCTATTGTGCCTATCTTGAACAAAGAAAAAATATATTACGGGTTGGAATTTTATCTCCAAATTTAAATTATTTAAGCTGACATTAAAAACATTTGGTTTATTTGTGAGAGGATTTCTAAAATGAAGTCTTAATGTTGTCTTAATTTTGTGTTTCACAAAACGCTGAATAGTCATGACATAAATAAGATGTAAAAGCTAGTATTTACGTTTTGGAAAAATGAATTACTTATTTTTATAAACCCGTAGGTCACTCTCTCCTGCATTTTTGCTTTTTGTGAGGAAATAGAAAATGTGGGATACGTCCTATGTGATCCATGATGCATCGTTTCATGTGTAAATTCCGTAAATCAGATTAATAAAATGGCCGTGGATACAG